TTAGCGATGACCATGTTGATTAGCCCCGTCTTCAGCTCGAAGTTGTTTGCGGCTATAGTCGGTTTCCTGATTCCCGAATAGTTCTCATTAATAGCAGGAATTCGCTATTCTCGCATTGTTCGCTCGGTCGGCAGCTTCGGTCTCGGCTGCTCGTGATCTCGTCCTGGCTCTTGATCGTACTCAAAGCCCAGGTGCTCTGGATTTCCATGATCTTCGGCCATTGATTCACTTTGTTGGTTGCGCGTGGCCCTTAGTCTACGTAATGTCCTTTCAATCTCGGGATCGTAAGGTATGATTTCCAAATTTCGACGCCTGGGCATAAACAAAGTGAGTGGTTATGATCAAGGTAAAAATCGAAAATAAAACATGTAAATGGCTAAAGTAATAATCAGATAATTGGTAACACTATCAACAAAGATAAAATCAAATTGGTCCCCGGCAACGGCGCCAAAAACTTGATACGCGTTTTCCTCACGTATAAATTACCGCAAGTATACGGTATCGCATTTTGCAGAACAGTGGTTCCGGATATCGATCCACAGGGACCTTGTAGATTCAAATGCTGAGTAGTGTAATTATATTATCGTTATATTATCTAGCCGATCGTAAATAAGTGGATTGGTGATAAACCCTAATTTATAAGCATGCAAGATCGTAAACATGCAAATATGGAATGTACGTAAATAAAGTAACGAAAACTCAACGCGGGGGACTTCGATTTAAAGGGGACTTCTAGGGCCAAATCCACCTATGTATAATCAACAACGATCGACAAATCCGCTATCTAAAATCACGTTCCTATTCGTTAACCCAGACGCTAATGTACTCTAACCCCCGTCTCCAGTGTAGTTAGAGTCTACCCACAGGTCCGACGTCTCCGTTCAGAACCTGCTATTAAGAGAACATTTAGGTCAAGTCCTTAAGGGCTACCCGAAGTGCATCACGTCTCCGTTTCCACACCCCGAGCTATGTTTTCCTAACTTCAAACAAGAAATCCTCTCTCGAGTTCATTCCTATTTAATATCAATCTGAGAGCTGATCAACACAATCAGAAGCATTTAATACAGGAAAACATAAACGAAATCAAAACACGACAAATAGATAGCAGAAATAACGATCGAAATCACTATATACAAGGCTTCATTGCCCTAGAAGAAAATGTTCTTAGTTCATAACAAACATAGTATCAAAAGAATGTACAAAGGAAATGAAGAACAAAACGTAAAGAAATTGCGTAAGAAAAACCCAAGTCGGAACCCCCGTTGATGATTCCCGCGAAGAACTGTCGAAAACCGTAAAAAGTCGAAGTCGAACGAAGAACGAGGGCTTGCTTCTATTTATAGTAAATTGCAAAGCTTCCTCAAGAAGCTTTGCTTTATAAAATATCTGCCCTCGAAAATCGTGCCAGATCGCGATCCAATAAAGTCGGATCGCGATCTGGCTTCTCGAAAAAACGTGAACCGCCTCCCAGATCGCGATCCAG